CGCTGGAGCGCGCCTTCCGCTCCGGCCCCGGGAAGGCGCCTCCGCCCGCTGTCCTCTGGCGGCCGCCGCCCGCCCGCAGCCCGCCGTCGCTGCGCCCCGAGGACCGCCGCGGCCCGCGCAGAGCGCGCCCCACAGGAGCCCAGGTCGCGAAGCTGGGAGGCGGCGGGGCCTCTACCCCTCCAGGCCCCGCGTGCAGCGTCTGCCCCGAGTCGCTGGGGGCCTGGATGAGGAGAAACGGAGGCGCCCGTGGGCACGCACGCACACAACTTGTCCTTTCCGATGAGCCACCCCTTTAGAAGTGTTATTCTTGTCCTGGATTGTTAATGAAAGGTGACAGTTTTGATCTCCATCTACCTCTGCCAGGCACTAAGCTCAAAGATGCACTTCCCGCAGGCCCTGTGGCCTTTTCTTGCCGCTCTCGGGGAGACGGGGGCTTTCCCGCAGAGGGGCACAGCTGGGCCGCCCCGAGGGGTGGCCGCGAGCAGGTGCTGGCGCGCTCTCTGCCGTGTGAGTAATCAGCGGGGCGGCCCATCCTGGGGACTTGGGGGACGACGTTAAATTACCCCATCCCGTAAACTCCCCGTGTGGAGGGCTGCCCCCAGGAGGGCAACTATCCGACTGGTTTAATCGTGTGGACAGGCACTGTAGGTCACTTTGTCTTTAAAGCACAATCGAAAAACAAACGCTCTTTTCATTTATTGTAGGAATTATTTTTCTACTAAGGAGGGGGCTGAATGAACAGAACCTCTCCTCGGAGACCCCTCAACTGAGACGGAAGATGGAAATGGATCGCCCGGCGTCGCGGCCACCCAGACGCTCGGGCCAGCCTCCTCCCTCCCTGAAAAGTCACACCAGTGACAAACGTTACCTGCCGAGCTGACGGTTTGATAACGAATAGCGGTTACTGACACCAGGATATCCTCACCTACCCCGGGCTTCTGGTCTACGCAAACGGCCCCAGATGGAGAACTACGACAATTATCTAAATAGCTCAAAGACACCCCCCCAAACGGACTTCGCTCCAATTTTTGGTGATTTCGGTCTAGTGGGGAGTGTGTTCAAGTCGCATGGTTGGGATAATTGCCTTAATCTTCCCCTCGGTCTCCCGGCGGCGAAGGGGAAGACGGTAAGACGGCCGCGGAGGTGCAGCTGCCTCCTGGGCGTGCAGAGCCCCCGGGTCGCTGCACTAGGAGAAGCCTCTTCCCGCGTCTTCTAAGCCTACCTGTCCTTTCCCCCGCAGCCCCTCGGCCCGGCGGGGACCCCGGAGCCGGCACTCGGGGGTCCTGCCCCGACGGGCCGGCTTCCTGGGCACAAGCCGGAGCCAAGGGAGTGAATAAGCCGGAACAGCGGGCGGGGAGGGGTCTGGGCAAGGCGCAGGGGCGATTCGGCTGGCCGGGGCTGAGGAGGACGCGGGAAAGTTCGCGGGGGGGGGGGGGTCTCTGACCCGGGGCAAGCTGTGCACCCCGGGCTGGGCTCACGCCCCTCGAGAATCATTTCCCGGACTCGGGGGGGGGGGGGGGGGCCGCCTCGTCCACTAATCCCTTTACTTGACTTGGAAAAAGAGAAGGAAAAACTCCTCTGGCTCCTGGTGACCTGAGTTAGGCACCATCTCCTCCCCCCACACACACACATTCCTGCGGTGTCACCGCGTTCCCGAATCCGGGCATTTCCTGGAGGGCTCGCCACATCTCCCTTCCCGGTGCTTTTCTACCGCTGCGACCCGGGAGGCCTTGTTTTAAAGATCGCTGTGACGTCACGCCCCCTCCCCAGAGCTAAGAACCCTTCGGTGGGCCCCAGGAATTGTAACCCCGCCTGACGGGTCAGGGAGGGGGTGGGGGCGGGGAGGGCCGAGCGACAGTCCACCGAGCATCCATTACCGCTGTCGCCTCCGGGACCTTCAGGCTGCAGGGACTGGAGGTGTCAGGAAAGAGGCAGAGGTTTCCTGCGGGGCATTTCTGCCGACTGAGTTAAGAGCTGTGGGGAAGACAGATGACTGAACCACCCCGTGGAGCAGCAAAAGGGACATCAAAAACTGCAGCCCGAAAATAAAAACTGTAACCCATTCCCCCAAAGCCTTCATTTCTGCGCCTTACTGTTCAAACACCACCACTAACAACAATAAGAAAATAAGTAAAGTACTTGGAATACAATCAAGCCGTTTACTGGAGGTTTGCTTCCGAGTAAGCTTATAAAACACAAATGCGAATCTTTTCCTGGCTAATATCCAGAGGCAAAGCAGTGGAAAGTTGATCTTTGTAAAACGGCACCCCTCCTTTCATTTCGCATGCCAGATCCCAATTTCACAGCAGCAACTTTCGCACCCGAAGCGGGAGCCCGGAACACCACCGCTGTTCGATTTGCGATTTACATAACAAGCTGTTTGCCCTTCCCTGGGCTGACTCGCAAGGGAGCGAGGGGAGAGCCCCACGGCGACCTGGGGGAGACGCCGAGCACCACTGTGGATCGCAAAACCCGGGCCGCCGGCATTTCCCACACAGGGACAAACTGAGCCACTGCCGCTGCGTTCGTCTCCGCTCCTTGAGCAGAGGAAGCGCACTTAAAGGCCGAATTCACCAAACGCTGAGGTGTTTAGGAAGACCACTTACTTAACTGGCCTCCAGGCTGCAGCCTGGCCTGGGCGGCCCGTGAAGCCTGGGCCACAGGGGCTGGTTAAGTCAGGGTGCAGGGCTGAGGGCTGGACGCGAAGTCATTGTTCAAGTCGTGGGGCTTCTCCTCCCCATCCCCCTACAAGTGTTTAGGACCCACCAAGGACTGAGCCTCCTGCTGATAAATCAAGTGTTTCATTCAACCGGCCAGTGACAGCCTTGCTGAACACCCTGGAAAAGGAGTGTCAAGTGACCCAAGCGCACAGCAGGCCAGGAGGCAGCTGCCTCAGGACTGGGAACTTCCGGGCAGCCCCCAAGCCACTTCCATAAGGAGCAGGTCTGCTTCTCTCCACGTAAATATGCATTCTGAAATACAACATGTTTTGAATGTTCAAGTGACACAGAGCTGTGCCTGCTACACAAGTCAGCGCCCTTGCCATCTTACAACTGAAGCTGCAATTAACATTTGTGTGCGGAGTGAGGAAGCCAAAAGGGGCCCCTAACGCGTCCTTGCAGTAGAAGATTGTCAGAAATCGGGGCATTGGAGGTGCTAAATGCGGCCGCTACTCTTCTTCACAGCATCCTAAACCCGCCAGCTCCCCCCGCTTCTGGTAAAGGGTCTACGGTTCCATCTGCAGCAGGGTCTTTTCTAGAGTGGCCGAAATGCACAATCGCGCTGCTGGCGGAGGGAGGCCCATCTCTTTCCTGCTCCTTCTTTTCTTCCCCTCTCACTGCTCTTCTTCCCATCCCTTCCAGTCGCCCAGATACGCCAAATCTCAGGCGTCTGTACGAGGATACGCCTTCTGTGCTTACTGTCTCAGAATCCTTGGGCCGCCCTGCAGGTGCGATTCTGAACGTTGCCCCCAAACACACCCGTTATCTCTGCGAGCCGGCAGCCACGCGCGTGTGGAGATGGAGGTGGCCTGGGACGTATTTGCTGCTTGTCATCACACCTGCTAATGTCCCTGAGCCCGCAGCCTGACCCCTCCTCTGAGCCGAAACGTGCCAGAGCTGACAAGAGGGGGCGGTCGGGTCGGCGAACAGGAGGGACCCGGCACGCTCCCCGAAGGGGACCGCGGGGAAACCTCCAGGCTCCAGCAGCCCACGCGCAAGCACCCTTCGGCCGCCAAGGGGGGCCGAGCAGCAGGGCGGCTCGCAGTAGGGCAGGTGCAGCCTACCTGGGCGAACCACCGCCGGAAGCTCCCGGCATGGGCCCACATCCCCCTCCCTTATTTCTGCTGGGGAGTGGTCACGGGGACGGCGAGGTAGGGCTGACAACTCTTTCCCCACCGGGAACAGAGCACGGCTGTGACTGAGCCCTTAAAACCGTGCCCTTTGTAACCCAGCTCAAGACAGGAGAACCTCCAGGTGGGGGAAACTGGAGACGTCTGTGACCCGAGTGAGACTGGCGATCTGGAGGGAAGGGAGAGGCGGGGAGAGAGGAAAGGTGAGGGGGAAAGGCGGAGGGGAGGAAAGGCCCGGGAAATCCCGGCTCTGGAGCCGCCAGATCCGCCCAAGAATGGGAGAGAGGTAGGGCGAGTTGGGGCTCGAGGACTCGGTGACATCTTCGGAGCGGCGGACGGAGGAAGGGTCTGCGTGGGGCCCAGGAGGACCCAGGAAGTCTGCGGGAACAATGGACGTCCGTGCGGAGGGCCCGGGGTGGGAGACAGCGGCTGGCGCCCAGGGCGGGCGGTGGGATGTAGGAGGAGAACCGAATGCGGGCACAGGCCGAGCGCGGGCAGCGGCGCGGGCTCGGGCCCCGCCGGCCGGCGCGCGTGTGGTCAGCCCCGCGGTCCTCCGCGGCGGGGCGCGGGCCGGCCGGGTTCGGCCTCCGGCTCATTCAGAGGCGGTTCTCGCCTCCCATTGGCTGCTGCTGCCGTGGTGGGGCGGGGCTCCGCCGCCCGGAAAAAATGTAACTGCGTAAAAAAGTCCTCGCCTGGGTGACGGATGCTCAAAAGTTCAGAAGTTTTCCCAATGCTTCCTTAAGCGGCCGGCGCGCGCGAGACTGAAAAAAAGGTGACGCGGGGCCCGGGAAGGCGGCCGGCGCGCGCCCCCCCGTCCTGGTTATTTGGCCGCCTCCGCCGGCGGCGCGGGGCAGAGTCTCCTGGAAGGCGCAGGCGGTGTGGCGAGAAGGGCGCCTTCTTGTTTTGTAGTTTGGGCTCTTTTTTCCCCGTTCTCGCCTGGAAGTTGCTCCGCGAGTTCCTCCGAGGCCCTCTCCCCCAGCACCGACCTCCTCGGCGGCCGGCGAGGGCCCCGAAGTGGCCAGAGGCGCCCCCGGAGCCCGAGACAGCGCAGGGGGAGGCCGCGCGCGGCCGGCGGCGCAGGGAGGCGGCAGCGGCGGCCGAGCCGGACGCAGCGCGGCGGCCCGGCGGCAGCGCGGAGAGGCCCGGACTCGGACTGGGCGGCCGGCGCGGCCGGCCTGAGCGAGGGTGGGGGGCGGCGGGCGGCGCGGGGCGGCGGCGGCGAGCGGGGGCCATGCAGGCGCGCTACTCCGTGTCCAGCCCCAACTCCTTGGGAGTGGTGCCCTACCTCGGCGGCGAGCAGAGCTACTACCGCGCGGCGGCGGCGGCGGCCGGGGGCGGCTACACCGCCATGCCGGCCCCCATGAGCGTGTACTCGCACCCGGCGCACGCCGAGCAGTACCCGGGCGGCATGGCCCGCGCCTACGGGCCCTACACGCCGCAGCCGCAGCCCAAGGACATGGTGAAGCCGCCCTACAGCTACATCGCGCTCATCACCATGGCCATCCAGAACGCCCCGGACAAGAAGATCACCCTCAACGGCATCTACCAGTTCATCATGGACCGCTTCCCTTTCTACCGGGACAATAAGCAGGGCTGGCAGAACAGCATCCGCCACAACCTGTCGCTCAACGAGTGCTTCGTCAAGGTGCCCCGCGACGACAAGAAGCCGGGCAAAGGCAGCTACTGGACGCTGGACCCGGACTCGTACAACATGTTCGAGAACGGCAGCTTCCTGCGGCGGCGGCGGCGCTTCAAGAAGAAGGACGCGGTGAAGGACAAGGAGGAGAAGGATCGGCTGCACCTGAAGGAGCCGCCGCCGCCGCCGCCCGGCCGCCAGCCCCCGCCCGCGCCGCCCGAGCCGGCCGACGGCGCCGCGCCCGGCCCGCAGCCGCCGCCCGTGCGCATCCAGGACATCAAGACCGAGAACGGTACGTGCCCCTCGCCGCCCCAGCCCCTGTCCCCGGCCGCCGCCCTGGGCAGCGGCAGCGCCGCCGCCGTGCCCAAAATCGAAAGCCCCGACAGCAGCAGCAGCAGCCTGTCGAGCGGGAGCAGCCCACCGGGCAGCCTGCCGTCGGCGCGGCCGCTGAGCCTGGACGGCGCGGAGTCCGCGCCCCCGCCGCCGCCCGCGCAGCCCGCGCCGCCGCCGCACCACAGCCAGGGCTTCAGCGTGGACAACATCATGACGTCGCTGCGGGGGTCGCCGCAGGGCGCGGCCGCGGAGCTCGGCTCCGGCCTCCTGGCCTCGGCGGCCGGGTCCTCGCGCGCCGGCATCGCACCCCCTCTGGCGCTGGGCGCCTACTCGCCGGGCCACAGCTCTCTCTACAGCTCCCCCTGCAGCCAGAGCTCCAGCGCCGGCAGCTCGGGCGGGGGCGGCGGCGGCGGCGGCGGCGCGGGGGGCGCGGGGACCTACCACTGCAACCTGCAGGCCATGAGCCTGTACGCGGCCGGGGAGCGCGGCGGCCACTTGCAGGGCGCGCCGGGGGGCGCCGGCGGCTCCGCTGTGGACGAACCCCTGCCAGACTACTCTCTGCCCCCGGTCACCAGCAGCAGCTCCTCGTCCCTGAGTCACGGCGGCGGCGGCGGCCAGGACGCCGGCCACCACCCTGCGGCCCACCAAGGCCGCCTCACCTCGTGGTACCTCAACCAGGCGGGCGGAGACCTGGGCCACTTGGCGAGCGCGGCGGCGGCGGCGGCGGCCGCGGGCTACCCGGGCCAGCAGCAGAACTTCCACTCGGTGCGGGAGATGTTCGAGTCACAGAGGGTCGGCTTGAACAACTCCCCGGTGAACGGGAGCAGTAGCTGTCAGATGGCCTTCCCTCCCAGCCAGCCTCTGTACCGCGCGTCCGGAGCTTTCGTCTACGACTGCAGCAAGTTTTGACACTCCTGCCCCCTCAAAGCCGAACGGAATCGAACTCCAAAGCAGGAACAGCCAAAAGAACCATCAGTGCAAAATCGAAACCAAAAAAATCCAATTTAAAAAAGCTTGAAAACATTCACCAAACCAGCGAACAGAATCCCTCCAAAAATTCAACTCACCAGCACAAAGAAAACTATTTTCTTAAAAGATTAATTCACAGAGCCACCTCCACTTTGCCTTATCTAAATAAACAAAACTGTAAACTATTTTGTACAGAGACAGCAAAGTCATGGTTTATTAAAGGACAGTGTTACTCCAGATAACACGTAAGTTTCTTCTTGCTTCTCAGCACGCTTTTCTCCTCCCCTCCACTCCTCACCCCTGCCCTGCGCCCTCCTCCGCCTCTCACTGTAAGATAGTATTTTATCCTATGTTGAAAGGAGGGGGAAAGTCCCCGTATATGAAAATCGCTTTCTTTTTATTCATGGACTTGTTTTAAAATGTAAATTGCAACATAGTAATTTATTTTTAATTTGTAGTTGGATGTCGTGGACCAAACGCCGGAAAGTGTTTCCAAAACCTGACGTTAAATTGCCTGAAACTTTAAATTGTGCTTTTTTTCTCCTTATAAAAAGGGAAACTGTATTAATCTTATTCTATCATCTTTTCTTTCTTTTTGTTGAACATATTCATTGTTTGTTTATTAATAAATTACCATTCATTTGAATGAGACCTATATGTCTGCATACTTTAATACAGGCTTATTATAAGAAAAAAAAGCTCAGAGATGAAAACACTAGAAATTACCTGTTCTCCCAAATCTCTGAAATAATGGAGAAACCCTCTATTCCTTATCAAATTTCACCTAAAACTGCCTTTTCATTTAGATTGTTTTCCTGCAGCATCTTCTGCAAAATGTACTATATAGTCAGCTTGCTTTGTGGCTAGTAAAAAGATATTTTGCTAAACAGATCTGAGTGGGGATATTCACAAATACATTTTATCAGTAATGACAGGATGAACATGATTTGGAAATTTTAAGCCCATGAATCAGCACGGGTCCCACCACAGTGATACCTGTGTGGACAGATGTGGATGTGCCTCCAGAAATACACAGACGGATTTAGTTTGTGTACCATAAAATATTGTGATGTGTATTCTACATCCCAGGAAGCCAAATGCTGGAGAGATTTTTTCCTACTAATTTCACTCCTTTGTAAGAGGAAAAATAAACCAGTTTTTAAATGTATGTATATAACTCATCCACATTTACAGTCCTTCATTTGTTACGTAGAAGGATTGATTTTTTTAAAAAAATATACTGTGGGTTGGAAAGGGATATTTAATCTTTGGGAAACCATTTTAGAAGATATGTTTGTAGAACAATTATTTTTTTGAAAAAGATTTACAGCAATAACAAGAAGGAGAGAAGCACAGAACATTGTGGTCTAGGGCGGTTTCTTTGAATCCCATTTCTCTTGTTAATTTACAGTTAGACCTAGGGGGCAATCCGGATTGGCCCTCCCCCCTTTGTAAATAACCCAGGAAATGTAATAAATTCATTATCTGAGGGTGATCAGCCCTGTCAATCAGACTTTGGGGAGATGGCGATTTGATTACAGACGTTCAGGGCCTTTCAGTTTGTTTTCGAGATAATACAGTTTCCTGCTATCTGCCGCTCCTATCTAGAGGCAACACTTAGCAGTAATTGCTGTTGCTTGTTGTCAAAATTTGATCACTGTTGAAGGATTGCTGCAAATAAATACGCTCTCATTTCAGTCAAAAACTGCCTTACGTGGCCTCTGATTTGCTTGGTCTCCTCGCTCAGAGCCTCCCGAAGGGCCGGGAAGCTGGCGGCGGCGCAGGCGGGTGTGCGGGCGCAGGCAGGTCGGGCCTGCGCTGCTGCTGCCTTTGGACCTCGCCGGCTGTCGCGCCCTGGTCCGGGCTGCCGCAAGCCTCCTCGGGTTACCCCTTTGGGCGGGCGTGAAGGGAGAGTCCACTGACAAACCTTGTACAGTTTGCGCTTTGGTGCACTTTAGGAGCCGAGCGTGGAGCCGGGATTTGCGGACAAAGGGCCCGGTGGCCGGTTCTGGGCTGTCTAGGCCCCGAAGGGAAGCAGCAGCAGGTGGCCACCGGCCCTGTCCTCCCAGACGGGGTGGCCGATTCCGAGGCGGGGTGGCTCGGGTAGCCCAAGACAGTACCTTTCTCCACTTGCCTGCCTCGGCGTTTGGGGATGGGGGGTGGCGAGTGTAGACCTTGTCCGTGCCGCACCCCAACCCCCCGCCCCAGCTTTGCGGCTGGGCGTTTCTCTGCCGCTGGGCCCTGCGAGTCAGCGGGGACGCGGCTCTGGCCCGGCCGCTCCGCAGCTGGTCGGCCGTAATTGCCCGCCGCGGCCGGGCGGCTGCCGGTGGCGTTCGGAGCTCCTGTCCCGCGCCGACCCCGCCCGCCCGCCCGCCGCGCCCCCTGCCCCGAGCGCACTCCCCGCCGCGGCCTCCTCACGAAGGCAGTTGTCTGGGGAGAAGACGGAGTCCAAGGAGACCTCTGTGAGGAGTGATGGACTAGTCTCAGGTCAGGTCGTGGGTGCTCGGACGCCGCGCTGATGGGAAGTGGCAAAGTGCGCAGGGGGCAGGGGGTGCGCGAGGGTCGCCGAGCCCGGAGGAGCCGCGGGGACGCAGCCGGCCCCGCATCTCCTCCTCGCGTCCCCGGAGCCGTGCTCCCAGTTATGCTGCTCGCTCTCCGCTTTGTCTCCAAAACGCACGTGCGGCGAGGCGCTCAGCCTGGGTGAAAAGGTCGCAGGCCCTCCCTGGCTCCCGGGGACAGGGCGCCCCGCTCCCGCCCTCAGCCGCCTGCCTCGCCGGACCTGCCCGGGCCAGCGCGGGCCCCAGGCGGCCTCCGGCGGGGCCGCGTCCTCGCGCCCGCGGCATGGGAGGTCGGCTCCCCCAGCCACAGATCACTCGGCGGTGGCCGCGCGGGAGTCCTCGGCCTCATGGGCGCGAGAGGCGTGCAGGCGGGCACAGGTTCGGCAGGGTCTGGGTGCATGTGCCCGCGACCCTCTGCGTCTCCTCCGGCCTCTGCTTGGAGGCGTGGGCTGCACGCGAGAGAGGCCGGGCCCGGGAGGGGCGGCCCGGGCCCGCGCCCCGAGGGAGCGCACTCGGCCTGCCTGGAGCGGGCGGGCCGAGGAGGGGGGAGCCTGGCGAGGGAAAGCACCGGCTCGGCGCTCCTCACGACATGCCAGGATGCCGAGGTGGCTGCGGGCGTCCCTTGCTCTTCCGTCCCGTGTCCTGAGTCCCTGTGGCTGGAGCAGGACCCGGGTCTGAGTGCGGTGCTTGGGCTTCTGCGGCCCGGAGGAGCCCCTCGGCGCAGGTCCTGCGAGTGTTTATGGCTTTGCTCGGAAGAAGCTTCTTAACAATCATTTTTGCCCTTTTTGATTCCAACATTTGAAAATTAGGCATGAAAGTCATGTATGTCTAGGAAGTTGTTTGTGTTATACATGTTTGAGAAAGTAGTTATTTCTGTACAAGTTGCGTAAAATAGTTCAGAAGCTATGTTTAAGTGGAAGGTCAGAAGTTCTGCTCATTAGTCTGATTTGTAAGACCACTTGGGTAATGTTTCCTACCATCACTACGTTTGCTTTTGGATTCTCATATCCAATTTAAGAAAACCCAACTCCTGCCAGCCTTACCTGATCTGGGACAACTGCTTATTCCCAGTGGTTTGAACGTTTGATTTGTGCTTTTTCAGCAGTAAGGATAATTATTCTGTAAGATAGTCTAAGAAAAGCTCCTTGGTATTTTAAGGAATAGACGGTACATTTTGAAATCAGCCTGCGACACCAGGCAGGACCCAGCCGGGGGCTCGGCTCACTTTGAAATCAGCCTCTGTAGAAAGCTGTAGGATAATAAGCATTTTGTCCTTTATGCAGCAGTAGGTGCATTTATTTTCTTAGCAATTAATACCATGAGCAAGTCAATGCCAGCATGTTACATGCCATGTAAAAACTCGCATTTGGCGTATTGCACGTGTGGTAGGAAGGCGTGCTGTTTTCCCAGGTTGAGTAGTTAGCAGGCCTTTTCACCAGACTGCATGCAAACAAGCATGCATTTTACAATTTATCATTCCACACAGTGTGTGTCGTTAATAATCGATGTTTGCAGGAGAATAAAGCTCGATTGTGCTGGTGGCCTGTAAGCTCTTGGCTGTTTCCTGCCAGGTCAGAAACAAGGGTCAGGAAACAAGAGTGCCTTATAGCCCTATTGGCTCCCCCAACTTTGATAGGTGATGAAGGGACATAGGACTTTTTTTCTCCCATCCTATCTCCTTCGGAGGGTCTCAGTTTTTAAGGTGGCGGGCCATTAGATGTGTTCTTAATGGTGCAAAACCCCAAAGAGGCCAGGCCCGGGACATCCTGACCAGCGTGCTCCCCGCTGTTAGTGGCACCGGAAGCGAGGCTGGTTGGAGTGGCAGTTTTCTTCTACCCTTACCTCACATTTTGGAGCTCCGGGAGAGGGCCCCGTTTGTCTCTGAGCCCTGTTCCTGTCCCTGAGTCCTGCCTGGTGTGGAAAGGCCTTCTCTTTACACCTCTCTGGACTCACTTCGAAGAGCTGTTCATGAAGCCATTAGCCCTTCCCACTGGCTCATAAACAAATGTCGAGTTAGGGGCAAGATTGATGGTGGCCATGTCATAAAGCTGGCCAGGCAGGACCGCTGGGATTCTGTGCGGGCAGCCATTCTTTAGCCAAGCAGGGAGCTTTGGGGGAGGCGGGGAGAAAAGGGACCAAGGCACATGTTGAGTGCGTACCCCACCAAGTTGTGGGGGAAGGGAGGAGCAGAGGAGGAGGAAGCCCAGAGCTCAGGCAAGCTCCCAGCAAGCAAAGCTAATTGACTCAGACAGTGGATTTGCTATAGAGCCCTAAATGCCAGCCTCAGAAACCCCACTTTTCTAAAAGTTCCTATTTCAATTTATAAAAAAGGCCAAGAGGTTCCTAGCAAAGAGTTTTTATTAATGGCATTTTCACTGGCACGTAAAGAGGGTCTTCCTTTGATGTTTGGTTCTATATTCAAAACTGGAACTTTTGAGGCTTGATACGCTCTTTACTTCATCTCCCCCTTTTTGAGTATGAATCCAACATAATCATTAAATTCTGCGTGTCTTTGTGTCTGTATCCCTCTGTCCCACTCTTTGTCACTTTCTTTCTCCCACCCCTCTTCCTCCCAGGCCCCCGCAGAAGGCTTTGGGGCCCCACAGTTTCTCGTGGATGCCCCCCTCCCCCCAGCTTGGGCTGCCTCCCTGGTGGCCCACAAGCCCAGGTGCTGAGCCCTCTGGGGATGGACCAGATGCCCCGGGACCCAGAGCTTGCGCCTAGGTCTCAGACAGACCTGGGGCCACACGGGAGCAGGACTGGCAGGGTTCGGGTCCGAGTCCAGTTGGGAAAAGAGCAATACTTAATTAAATGAATTCCAGCTCCAACATCCATTCCGGAGAATGAAAGCTGCTTCTCCACAACGTTCTCAATGTGATTAGGAGTGGAAAATTGAGCAAAATGTACCATGTCCGCCTTATTGGAAACCAAAATATGGCATAGAGAGCATAAGGCCCAACTTAAGACCTTTGTTGTGCTCCTTTTCCTCTTACCCTGGCTCCAAAGAAACCCTCTGTTTTATATTATTTTCGTGTGTGTTGTTTACTTGATTTTTTCCCTCACTGATTTGAAATTTGCAGCATATTGAGCATATTATAGGGGATGCAGTGGGATCTGGAATTTCCTTGCATATAGGTGTGGGCCTGTCTTCCAGACAGGAGAGAAGGACGGAGCTCCCAGCGAAGAACCGTCCTGAGAGGAGAGCGACCAGGTCTGCATGGTCCTGAGAGAGGGCCTGGCATTGCTTCCTGCTCAGCATCTCCCCACCTGGGGTCTGGAGTGTCACCTGAAAGCCTCAGGGCACTTCCCTAGGCTTCTTGCTCTTCCTGATGGTGCCTTTCTATCTTCTCCCAAAGAGCGTCTTCTTTGTCTGGTCTGCCCTGGGGTTCCTCCAAGCCGGCTGGTCAGCACTGCCGGTCATGGTCATTTGGGGTAAGCTGCCCATCGTCTTCCCCTAGCTGTCCCAGCAGGTCGCTCCCAGGAAGGAGGCTGGGTGGGCTGCTCATTTGCCCCCTAAATCAACACATCCTGGTGCTGCTTGGGTGGACATGGGCATGCAATTTGTGAGCCCTGGGAGTGAGCAGTGGGCAGGCAGCCAGGACCGGGGGGGGGGGGGGGGCCTCTCGATTCACCTGTGTGGTGGGACCCCAGGCAGGACCCAGGGACACACAGGAGGCCGTAGCAAGTGGCTTTGCGGGGACTCAGAGCTCGACATTGGGGCATAGAGGGGGTTTGCTGTAGGGGTTTGAGGACGATTTAGATCGAGAGACAAGAGAGAGCGATTGAGCAGACACCTTCCCTCCCCCATTACTTACACCAGGGAAAAAGCAGGAAAACCAACACATTTAGCGCCATTAACTCTTAAGGCCTCCGCATTTCCTTCAGTATGAAAGCAGGTCATTGGTCCGGAGGCTGTGCCGGGGTCTCGTTAATGGCTACAGATGTGCAAACAGGACGAGGGTGGGGAGCACGTGTTTAAGCGGCAGTCGGATTCTTAAAAATCTGCCAGTGGAGGAAAACGAAAACTCTGTCCTCCGAGTTGAGCAAAGTTGGCGTCCTCGACTGTGCACAGGGAGGGTCCTGGAGGCCCCAGAGGTCTGTCCCTGGAGCCCGGCGCGCGGAGCCTGCAGGGGTGGGGGAGGGGGCG